TAATAATATATGCATTAATTCTTTATCAAAAAATAGAAAATGCGGCTATATCCTGGTCATTTCACTCACTGCGCCTTGCAAGCACGTGCGGCATTAAATAAACAAACTTAATGTAGATATAGTTTTATGATGACGAACAGGTTACCTCTTCAAAAATTGTGAAAAATAATAATAATAATTTCATGGCCCCTGGGAACATAATAATAAGAAACAGGGGTTCTGGTGTTGGGGAACATAATAATGGTGATAATAAATATGTTGATATTATATAATTAATTTTTTGAAATCTTCTCTGCTTTTGGGTATTAAACAAATTAACGAATTTTTTTTACATTTTTACGAAGATAAAATCATCTCCCCATATCAATTTATGCACATTAAAATTGTTACAATAGTGCATTCATCATTAAGCGTCTATGTTTATTTTTACAAACAAAGAAAAAATGATGACTATATAAAATAAAAGTGAAAATGCTTATGATATTAATATACAGATCATTATTTAAAATACAATTGTGTCTTAATTTTGTATGTAAAATGTTCAGATACCTTCTGCCATGTGAAAAATACTTGAGAGGCTTATCTTTATTATTGCTCAATTTTCTTTTAAAACTTCCTATATACTTGTTTCGGTAGTCAAATGATTTGTTGTATAATTCAAGCCTGCATTTAGGTAAAGAATAATCAAATGAATTATTGTAATTTGACAGTGTTTCTAACCATGGTACAATGTTTTTTAAGTAATCAGGAGCTAGGGGGATTTTAAACATTGTTAAAAGTTTTGGTCTCTTAATTATCGTATATAGCCTGTTTATATATACTGAAAATGTATTAGTGCTTTTGAAAGTTTATGATATTAATCAAACATTTATGATGATGCATAGAGTGTCTTTTAAAGGAAATTAAAGTTTGTAAAATGTGTGAACTGAAAATTTAAGGAAGTCCAGTTTTTTGTAGCCTTTCTGATTATTCAATGATTATTACTAATTTAGTTGAAATGTTTATGTTGTGATACATATTCTAACTGACAGTCTCAAAAAATAATTCAGGTAACTGGTTTGTATTTTTTAACCTGAAAAATAAACTTTTGTTTTACTTGGATTAAATTTCAATAACCATTTTTTGGACCATTCATCCAGAATTTTTGCCATGATGTGACAATCCTGTTTTACTTTTTTGTAAAGAATTATCTGAGTCTGCAAACAGTTATCATGTTTTCGGCTACATCATTCACATATATCAAAAATAACAGGGAAGGACAATTGCTATTACAACCACATTTTTGAAGAAAATAAATTTTTATACATAACTTTTTGTTTTCTATTGTACAGTAACTTTCCTCTAGTTTATTATTCATTTTTTTAATTTATATTAACCAGTTATTTAACGTTTGAAAAATAAAAAAAAACTCTATTTGAATAACAATTTTATGTTTCTAAAAGTTGGTACACTGCTATTGCAAGCAGAAAACCTGCTGATATTTGTAGAACAAATTATTTGTGTAAAAAAAATTATATACATGTTTGAATGCAACTCTCTCAAATATTTTACTTACACAACTCAAAAGAGATACAGGTCTATAATTTGAAGTTACTGATCATCTTTTTTAAATAAAAGGACATGTGCTAGTTTCCAACTTTCAGGATAAACTTTGAGTCTAAGAGATTTATTAAATAACAGACAAAGTGGCGTAGCTATGGATTCTTTACAAGAAACATTTTGTGGCTGATACAATCAGGGCCCACAGCTTTATTTACGGGCAGGATAGAAATAATATCAATAATCTCACTTTCTTGGATATTTACGTCACAAATTTTTTCTACATTTTTGGACTCAAAATCAGGTAGCTCATATTCCTCATCTTTTATATCAGAGATGGATCTAAAAAAGTTATTTAGTAATTCAATTTTCTCTTTATCGGAAAAAGCGTATATAGGATCACCATTCTCATTCATCTGTTTAATAGGGGGTATTTCGGATGAAGTTTTAGTGTGAAAGACATCTTTTAGTAATTTCCAGTACAACTTGTTATTATTTTTATTTGCGTCGTTTAAATGAGAATCAATGTTGTCGTAGTAATTTGCTCTGGCATATTTTTTCATATCATTTACTTTATTTTAGCTTGTAAATTCTTTTTTAGCTGTTCTTTCTTGGTTTTCTGTGCTTTATTTCTTAATCTGTTCCTAAGTCGTATAGCCGTTCTTAGTAATGAATCCATCCATGGTTTGTCGTTTGGTCTTATTGTAACAGTTTTTTCGGGTATACATTTGCGCATAATTAGCACAAATTGTTGTGTAAAGTTTGTTGTTGCGGTTTCAATATCAGTTGATTTTGAAATAATGCTTTCCCAATCAAAGTTGTTTATCAAAATATTAAGTTCTTCTAGATTTGCTTCTTTATAGCTCCATACTTTACGTTTGTATGAAGAATTGTTACAGTAATTTTGTTTCACATATATATTCGTAGCTTTGTGGTCACTGATATTTGTGTCAACCATTAATGGATTTAAAAATTTGGAAATAAGAATAGGCCTATCAGAGTTTTTGTAACTTGTGTTACTCTCGTAGGTCCGTTTATTACGTTTAAAAGCCCAGCCATGTTCATGATATTATAAATTTCATCATTTGGATTTATTTGAAGAAAGTACTGAAAGTACTCATACGAGTTGATGGTTGTCCAAGCTTAGCTAATAGGTATTGTTTTAGTTATGAAAAAATGAAAGTCTTGTCCAGTTCGGGACGACATACGCTATTGCTTGCAATAGCAAACTTTCTAGTTATTGATCCGTGTATATTTTTACGAGAAAAATTACCCTGCCATTGTCTTCAAATAATTTATTTCCTTTTGGAAAATCTTTTGGAAATGATGAAATAATGTATAAATGCCTCTTCAGGTTCTTACTTGCAATCCTTTCTAACATGTGTTTTCATTGGACTACGTCATTACGATTATGACATCACGTTTCTAGTAGGCTTGCGTTGTGTTGTGGTTACGTCTCATAACCACGACATTTGTTCAACAGAACGGACACATTCATTTTTTTCTCCCGATTTCCTGCAAAGTTTAGCAAACTTACGAAAGATATGGAGCCTAAAGTGCACAGAGGCAAAGATAAGAGGGTAATGCCTCAAACTGTTTATTTTTTTAGTAAAAAAATCAATCGCTGTTGATATAATTTCCTTTTTTTATTAAAAATGGAGGAATAGGTTACGTTTCATGCCAGCGCCAATCCTTTCACAGAATGGCATAAGTACATTCTTAATATAACCTCTTAAATTAATGTACATTTTATATGCTTTTCCTTTCTTTTTTCCTACCTGTGTATAATTTTTTGTATATTGTAAAATTTAGTCTTGGGATATATGATATTGTAATCCATCACATTATACATCTCCTAAACGAAGAGAATGTTATTCTGATAATTTATTACAACTGAGAATTAGACACACGACACTTCCATTAAAAGAAGCAGTCCCAGAATAAAGAAATTTGATAAGAATTTTCAGGGTTGCAACTTATTTTCCTAGCTCTACATTATTCAGACGTCGCTACTGACGATGAGAAAAAGATATTCTGGGGTTTTTTTTGGGGGGGGGGGGGTAATGTAAGAGAGTCAAGGTGAGGAGGGGGTCTTTATTTAAATAAAGCGTTATAAATGCGTTATTTTCGCCCCATGTTAAGCAGTTTTAAATTCGCCCTGTCATAGTTCTGTTTAAGAAATTTTACTGTGTAATTTGAATTCGCCCCGTTTTAAATTCGCCCAAATTTTCCTGTATACAGTAATTGGGATGTCCGTCAGTCTGTTACGCTTTGGGGTATCCATCTCTAATCCGCAACTCGATGAAATTTGATGAGACATTTACAGAATCTTTATTAAATATTGCGATTGTGACCTATTTTACTTTTTGATTCCGATGATTCGACACATATTTTCGGTTTTCCAAAGCAAAACATGGACACTGCCATTATATTATAACCGCCCGTTTTTAGCGTCTATTACTCCATATATACTCGCAATATTTTCCACATTTATTAAAGTTCATAAAACATAAAACAACAATTGGGATATAGGCTACTCTTCACTCCGTACAATATGTCTGATAATTAATTAAACGGACAGACAGACGAACCTTATGACTATGAGGTTAACGTTACGGCTTTACGAACACTTCTTAATCTACATGTATCTTTTCTCTTACTCTGATTCTAACTAACTACATTTTATTAAGTAACATTTTATAAAACATTTACTTTACTTTGATTGACATGTCCAATTATAAATTAATCAATAGGTTCTATCCAATCACTGTCAATCTTTATTACTCAAGACTGACCACCGCTAAAGGTTAACGCCCATTATTTGACCTGCGTTAATCCGCTAATTGTTACCTAAACGTTTTAACTCAATTAGTGTCAAACACTCTTTTGATCTTGAACTGCATTGTCCATCTGTCCGCACTATCTGATAAGTATTTGTCCTTAAGCAATATTTAATGGCTTTGATTTATTATTTCATTGTTACAGTTAAGACTTTTTATAAACATTGAGTTACATTTTATCACTTCCGTATCAAGAAGAATTTCACAAGATTGCGTATGTTAAATACATTAATTAATAAACAAGCCGAAAATAGAAAATATATAGAAATGTGCAAAACATACATTTTGCACGGTCATAATATTCATATATATAAGGCGGAAGTATCAATTAGTGAGTTCTTTGCTTACAGTATCGCTAGTTTTTATTGATTTTATTCTAAGAGATGGATACCCCAAAGCGTAACAGACGGACGTACAGGCAGACGGACGGACATCCCGATTACTATATACCCTCCTACTTTTCAAGCGCGGGGGGGGGGGGTTACATGTATAAATAGTATAGATTGAAATAGAAATATGTAGCAAGTACATAATGATATATTTCGGAATATCATAAATACTTGTATATGATATGTAGGCCTATATTATATCAAATTTATTACTGTTTTTACCGTATAAAATATGGATATATTTCAGACATGTGATAACCCTGGAGATGGTACCACATCAGGAGGAAGAAACTCGCCTGACCAGGCATATATTGTAAAGAACAGAATATAACATTTACAAAATTGAATAATTCTCACTTTTTAATTTTTTTTTAAATTTGGGTGTATTTTTGTTAGTTTATTTTGAATGTCAAGTTATGCTTTCAATTTTTCATTATCATCTAAAAAATTATATACTAAGTAATTTTTACCAATTTATGAAAATGTTTTGATGATCAAATCTGTAATAGAGTATTTCTTTATAAATGTAAAAAAAGTACTTCATAACCTATACTATATTTACTTTGTAGGCTGTACCCAAAAAGAGACGGTGGCGACCATACAACAAAGTGTGGAGACGTGACCAGAAATGGACTAGAGAGGTGAACATGTATATTCTAGTATTCAAGATCGTATTATTTCATGATTATTTTGAGTTCCTAAACTGATTGAAACTTTTAATATGAATATTTAATTGTTTTTTTTTTGTTTATTGTAGGGACTGACGTACCCTCAGAAGTCACTAGTATCACAGGTGTGTTATATGATAACCCATTACTAAAATCTCACCCCCACCCCATCACCATTTTCTAGAGTATTGGAAAGGGCAGATAGATCAAATACATAAACATAATTTTAATTTATATACCTTTATTTCAGAAGTCAGATGAGCCAGGCAAGGACTTGTCAGAGACCAGAACACCACCATCTGTGGTGTCTGACGAGGTAGGGTACAGGAATATATTGAATTTATAGATTAAAATTTTAATGTAATGGTCATTATTTTATGCGTGTAGTATACATTGTAATAGTAATGATGTGAACAGTTATAACAGTCCTCTTTGTTTTGTAGGTCACACCGAAAAAGAAGAGACATTGGACATATAACCGTGTGTGGCAAAAAGACAAGAAGTGGATACGAGAGGTAAGTTTAATGCTCGAATTGAATTCAGGGGGGGGGGGGGTAATTTTTAAAAAGAAAACTGATAAACATGTTTATTTCAATTTGAAAAAAGTAACTTAAATTTTTTTGAGAGGAATAGCATTAATCAATGGAGGAAGGATAATTAAAAGTACTTAACGAATCAATTAAACACATTAATTACATGTATGAGGTTTAAATGATTACTTATTGAAATAAACATGGTGTATTATAGGAGCAGACTCAGCAGCAGGCAGTACCACCTCCTACCCCGGTACACAGGGACCACCCCACAAAGACACCACCGGTCCCAGTACCACCTCCTACCCCGGTACACAGGGACCACCCCACAAAGACACCACCGGTCCCAGTACCCAGACAGGTATACCTGAGGCTCCAAGGTTCTCCTTGTATTTTTATCATTTGATGGTTATAACAGAAAACCTTGAAATCTGATAAGTTTAAAACTACACGTACATGTAGTTAAAAAAGCCACATTAGAAAATCTTTAAAAATCTTTTTCTTATATTACTTGATAATACTATATAACGTTTAAACAGTAGGACTTATGTTTTATAGCAGGAGCCACCCCAATTTCTGAGAAAATACTGGCGGAGAAACAGGGTTTGGAGGAGGGACATGGTGTGGGTAAGAAAGGTAAATATAGCACTCTTACAATTCTCCTCCCTAAATATGATTATAAAATTCTGTCAAATTTCTAACACTTTAATTAAAGTTGCAAGATAGAGGGTTGAAATAAATGATATATTAAGTTTTTTAAAGTCAGAAAATTTTCCACAACTTAAATAAAATAAAAACCGCAACAAAGCATAAACCGAGTCCGTACTGCAATCGCGTACTTCTCCTGTATCAGCATCTTGGATCAGAGAGAAATTACGTGCAGGCAGTTGTGTGGAATTATGGGTAAAATGTCAAAAGGTAAATTATCATCATTGTTATACAGTTATAGGAGTGTTAAATGTGAAGTATAGATGTATAACACATTTAAATTACCATATGGTACCTATACAGTATGCAGATATTCTCAAGTCAATATCATCAATGAATTGAAGAGTCTGTTACACTTTCTTTACATTTATAAGGCAGGGGTAAAAATTTTTTTTAATCCATTTCTGATCATAATTATATGTTTTAAAAACAACTCTGGAAAAATCCCTTTATAGTAAATTTGTTTTAGTAGTGGTCAATTTTTAAAATAATTTTTTTCCAATTTCCTTTTAATAGCCCACATCAGAGCCAGAGACCCGTGCTGCTGATGAAGTACAAGTATGTATCTTCTATCATATATCTAATTATTGACATATCTGTAGTGTATCTTTCATCATACATTAAAATTGTTTGTTATTATCATCAGTTTTGATAACCTTATATAAATTATCATCTTTCTTTACACAGGATCCCATTTTGGTACCCTCTTCTGAGAAGACTGCATCCTTGCCCACCACTGATAAGACTCTCGCTGAGGAGCAGAAGACTCCCACCACTGACAGGGCTCTCTCTGAGGGACAGGAGACTGTTACGGCTGGATCCTCCTCAGCCCCTGACCTCCCTCCAGATGATGGAGAGCCCTCCCCAGCTGCAGAAACTGATCCCACCCCTCCCTCTGTTGAACAAAAGACCATCACTGACAGGGTTGGTGCAATTATCAAATTCTCTTAAATTCAAATCAACCAAATTAAGTTTAAGAGAAGTTTTTGATATGTTTGAATTATGTAACCATTAATTTATTATCTGTCTAATTGTAAACAAATTAGAAATGACAATCATAACTGCCTAGTTTGAGGTACATGTATATGTGTCTTCAGTATAGTTGAACAATTTCTTTCTTATTCTAGAACCAGTCCACCCGGAAACGGAAGAGGTCCAGTGGTCCTTCTGCTCCCTCAAAGAGACAGAAGACTGCTTTGGTATTTTTATTTTTTGCATACTTTTAAAGCAATTTTCTTTACAAATCTATTGGAACATACAATCCATTAAATTATTTTTCTAACTTTTTTAATTATAATTCTTTTTTTGTAGTTTTCTCTGATGGAGATTGAGATGGAATGCCTGGAGCAGATGTTCGCTTCCCTCACCTTGTGATCTCCGCGGTATAGGAACTTTTACCTGTGTGGCTGTATTCTGATGTAAGGTGTTTGTGATTTGGGTTGGTATAGTTTTTCTGGGGTTTACAGATTGTCACACAGGTAAGTGATGCTATACTTCAATTTTTGTATATACTTGTACATAGTTTGTATTAAATCACTGTGAATAGTTTTGATATTACTGATTTCATACCCTGTTCTGATTTCTGTTTCTTTTCATTTTATTTTTTTCAACCAACTCTTTGCATTCTCAGAATGCCTTACCTTTTTAGAAAATATTGTAAATAATTGCATGATTTTTCCAATAAATGTAAAAAGATCTTATCTTGTTGTTGTTGTGTTTTATATTAAATGAAGGAGGCACATGGTTATATTATATGGTCAATGGCTTTGTAAAATACGACGATAACAAACAGTAAGGTCATTGAAACAATACAGAGCCCCAGCGGAACAAGCACAGATCTCTGAAAACAATCAGAAGTGGATTCAGGCGCCATAGGCAATAAAGCATCCTCTATCGCTCTTTATCATGATTTTGCAAACCGAAAATTAGTGGACAATTCAGTGAAAAAACGTCAGTCAGCATTTAACTTAACGATAGATTACAAGTATATATGCTGCCAAGGTCTTTGCATTGACCAAAGAATTTGTGAAATGGTTACTTTGAATGAGACTGCTGGTGTCCCAGTTTCATTAACTGGTTTGTCAATAAGTTGTCTGTTCTAGGAATTTTCGAACGTTGATTGTGCTCTTGCCTATCGAATTAACTTGAGATAAAACTAGTGCTACAAATCAGGAGTCTGAATATATGACACACAGGACTGACAATCAACCAGGACCCAGTATGTCAGCCTTTGTCAGGAGAGGTGTTATTCAATGAATTCATACGGCCAACAGCCTACAGTTTTAATTTCAGGTGAAGGCAACACAATGAGTTAATTATTGAGTGCTGATGTTGATGACATTGTGAAAGGTTATCTATTAGATATGCCAAAACCACAGAGTTAGTCAAACGGAGGATGTGACCACTTAACAAGGGATGCTTACAACTCCTAGGCACCCAACTCTGGGTTTTGCAAGGGTCCATATCTTATACCATCTTAACAGTATTGTTAAAACTATTGTTTTTGGAATTCTTGAGATCGATCACATTTTGTTATCCACCTTTTTTTTTTATTGTGAACAGAAAATTCAAAGACAGATCACATGAATAACCAAGTCAGTCACGATGATGGAAGCTGACTCCCTGGCTTGACTACATTCTGAGGCTTGCGCTGTAATAAATGGTAAAACAATGGTTAGATCCCATGAAGAGAGGTTCTCCCATCCTCACCAAAGATATATATACTGTGTATAGCTAAAAGAATGAAGACAAAGAGCATCTGAGTCAATACTAGCCCTAGGTCACCTTATAAGACGACTTACAAAATCTGGCCTACCCAGCAGCACCTGGTGATGTGCGAGAAACTCTGACCAAAGAGGCATTCACCGATGCCTTCAATTGGTAAATTTTACATGGAATTTTAATTGTTTATATGAGAGCACATCAAACAATCTTGTCAACAAATCCTGACCGAAGTCATCCGGCTAGATGTTTGATTATGCAGAGAGACGTAAGCAAATAACAAAAGGCCATTTGAGTGTCGGCATAAGAACAATTATCCATACATCAATGAAATCTATGGATGCTTAAATGAATACCTTAATCAACGAGATCCAAGAACTGAAACTAAATCGGTCATTCAGTAGAGTCAATGACAAACAACTGAGGGGCAAATCTTGCGGGTTTTTTGTTGTTGTAATAAATGCAACAAAGAAGGCCACATAAATCGCCCTTGGTCAAAGCTGACGAGATAATACTGTGAAAGTGAACACAGTGATGAAAAAGATGCAAAAGGGGTTAAGCAGACCAGTGCAAAGGAAATAGATCCCAAATAATGCCTGTCCGGGTGGATCAATTGATTCTTTGGATGAAACTGCATGGCATGTACATAGAGATCACTGTTAAATTCCTGGTTGAAACATTGTTGTTCTTAGAAATGTATAACAAAAACTACATGCAGAGAACATCAGGCCAAAGCTGTCTGTTTGCTTAATGTTGATGAAGAAGCCACTTACCAGAGAACAGTATTTGGGCAATTCTCTTGAAGTGAAAGCGGGCGAGTCAGGAGAGGGGGGATGTTTAATTTAATGTTGATATATTGAATAAAACACTTAAAGGCATTAACACAAACTTCCAAAACTTTTCTTGATTTTTCGATTTTATATTTCTATCATAAAGATAGCAGATCCATTATGACGTCTCAGTGACGATTTCCATGCCTATCCTTGGTACTTCATTAAAAAATTAACCGTTTTTTCATGTGTAAAGAATATAAAGGGAAACCATTTGGAAGTATGAAGACATGGACACATGATCCAGGCTGTAACATGACATGCTCCGTTGTGTATACTTTATACAACAGTCCAAGGATTTCAAAGTCTTATATTTAATACCATGTAATGGCATTCAGGCTAATTGTTTCTAAAACAAATGGTCAGAGTGGTTCGATCGCCGTTGGCTCGATAATGCCTTGGTCACATTTCCTGGCCGGTGGCCGTAGACCGTTGGTTATTGTGTGAGCGATGCCCCAACATCGGTCCAAATCGTCCTCGTAGTCCTTAAACTGTTAAAGTATCAGTCACATAATCCAGCGATGGGGTATACGATGGACAACCAATGCGTTTTTTTTTTTTTTTTATAAAAATGGCGCGGTTACCGGCCGAACTTACAAAGGCCCAGTGATGCATTGCTTATCATAAAATTATGTTCCAGGGTAATCGGCCGATCTATATTACATCGCTCACACATTGGTGAACATAGGTACATCGGTCGACTATGGGCCAATTTTTGGTCGAACATCGACGATGATCGGCCGATGTCTGTTGCCCACCACTCAACCCCCGATGATCTCAGATTCAACGGATACTTGACGATGCTCGGCCATACATCGGCCAATCCTTGAAAGATGTGTTAACGACTGGTTGCCGATGAGGAGTGGTGTGGGGCATCGGTGGAGACATCGCTGGTTTTTAACTACAAAATATTTTCTACCGATGAACCCCACCGATTCGCCAAATGGCCTCAGTCACCGTCCGATTACTATAGGTTTCCGGCCGGCAACCACGCCATTTTTATCAAAATAACCCGTCGGTTTCTCATCGTATACCCCATCGCTGGATAATGTTACTGATACTTTACAGAGCACCTGGCTGCAGATTCAGGTCGGGCTCAAATTCCGGTCTAGTCCGTTGCAATTTTCTCCTCTCCCGTTACATTTTGGCCCTCTCCGTGACAGTTTTGTCAATCTTATTTACTTTACCTATTCGTACAAGGAGATACACAAGGTATGGGCATCTTTCTTCCACTGGTGTCGGTCTGAGACTGCTCGGCGAACTGCGTTCCAGGAGCTCAGGTCTGCATTTTCCGCTCCACCTTCACCATCCTACGCCATATTGTCTTTAAATGACATCGGTTTACTCTTACCTCGGACGTCCAATCGAGAGCAACAGCACAGTCATCTGTTGGATCCTTCCTTAGCACACGGTCGATTCAATTCCACCTCCTCCTCCTCCTTCTCAAGTGTTGACTATAAACAGTAAGAATGAATACGGCCTGGCAATCGGAAAAGTAGAGTCGAAGAGGTGACAGCTTCACAAATCTTGGTGCCAATGTCACCAAGGACAGCGAAGATACTGCTTATAGCAAGAAAAAGGATAAAGCTGGCTCGATGTTATTCTTTTGGAATGGCAGTCTTCAGAAGGCAAGTCAACATCTGGCATCCCTTTCTTGATCTTCCTCTTTTCATGTCTGGTCAAAGGTGTGTTTCAGTTCCTGACTGGTCTGATCGATGTCTGTCTTTGACATTTCTGCTGTTCTGTGATAAGCTTTATGGGGCCTTGCCATTCCTAAGTTGCTTTGCATCTGGGATTTTCTGTGAGTGGGTGTCATGACTGAGATGTCTTAATTGTTCCTCTCATGTTAGTCTTCTGGTAGTACTCTGGAGTGGTATTAGCTATTTAGCACTTCCACAAAGAGTTCCCTTCATTTGCATGGTAAATCTTTTTACTTAAAACATTGCCATTTAAATGTCCAAAAGTTACCTGGAGGAGTCCGATAATAACACAATGGGAGTTCAAGCATCCATTGTTTTCTACCCGTCTGATAAGTAGATAAAAGAAATGAGTGAACGGTAAAAAAAGTGAGTGAACTCTTGTTTCATTAATTTCATTCATTCAATGGCAGTCGTTTCGTTTAGCAGGACAGGGGTACGGTGGTGAAAGATTTTTTTGGGGAACATTTTTATTTATGATGTGCATAAATTGACATTGATACTGACATAATTTTGGGTAATATTTTAACCATCATCATGGCAAGTAAAATGCGGATTTTTACCCTAGCTGAATTTTTAGCTAAGATAATGGAAATTCTCAGGTTTTGAAATTGTGGCCATCGGGGAACAAACATAAAAGGAGATTGCAGAATCTTTTTTTTCAGAAATGGATTTAAATTCGCTTATTCAAAAACTCTTTTAA